CGGTGTGGGACCAGGGGTCTCGCCTCCCTCCAGCTCTCGGCAGCGGTGGGGAGAGCTGGGACAGCGGGCAGGGATGGGTAGCGGAGGGAGACATGTTTAGAGGGGGGCACAGGGAACCGTGGGTGAGACCCGGCTCCATCCTCTCCCTCCCCGTGCCCTGGCATGGCTAAGAGGGGTGACAGCGACAGCACTGGGGTGCCTTGTGCCTTGGCACCAGGACCCCCCCAAGAGGCCCTGATGTCCCCATCTGCCCCCTCGCTGTGGGTGCCTGGCAAGGTGCCACCACTCGTGGGCAGAGGACACCCAGCCAGGTGTGTGGGGATGCTGGGGGGCAAGCGGCCGTGCCAAGGTGGCTGTCCCCACTGGAGACAGCTGTCCTCTTCCCAGTCAGCCCCCCCCCCGCCCCCAGCTGGGCAAAGGGAGCCTGGCAGGCACGGCGCCACGCATGGGGTGCCTCTTGCCTGGGCTCCGCTGCCGGGCACATCCCTAGCGATGCTCTGTCCCCTCCTGTGTCCCTGGCACTGCTACCTGGGGACAGCCTGAGCTGGAGCGGAGGGGTGGGCTGGTGTTTCTATGGGCACAGCTAGGAAGAGTGGAGGTCCCTGCCTGTCCCCGGGTTCGTGTTGATGGGGTGCCTCTCCCGGCCCCCCTGGGGAGCTGGGGATGGGCTCGGGAGATGTGTCCCACTAGCATCTCTCACGCCCAACCCAGGCAGCACCCCTGCCTTGGCTCTCAGCCCCTCTGGGTGACTCCCCCAGGGGGGACAGGGCAGATGGGAGCCGGGCAGAGTCCCCCCTAACCTGGCTCGGTGTCTCCGGCAGAGGCTGAGCTGTAGCATGCAGGCGGAGGAGGGCACAGACTGGCTGCTGGAGCTGCTCACCGAGGTGCAGCTGCAGCAGTACTTCCTGCGCATCCGGGACGAGCTCAACGTCACCCGCCTCTCCCACTTCGAGTACGTCAAAAATGAGGATCTCGAGAAGATCGGCATGGGACGCCCCGGTGCGTACATCCCCCCCCAAACCTCCCCCTGTACTCCCAGCTGGCTGTACAGCGTCTTTTGAGGAGCCCAGAGGAGCATGCGATCCACGGGGCTGGAGGGGACCCCCACTCCGTGGTGGTTGGTGACAGTCACTGTCCTTGTGTTCTGCAGGCCAGCGGCGGCTGTGGGAGGCAGTGAAGCGGAGGAAAGCCATGTGCAAGCGGAAATCCTGGATGAGCAAGGTAGGGGTGGGAGAGGGGCAGGTGT